TTTTTTTTTTTTTTTTGAGTCAGAGTCACACTCTGTCACCCAGGCTGGAGTGCAGTGGCACCCTCACGACGCGCAGCCTCGGCCCACTGGTCCCACCCAGGCGATCCTTCCACCTCAGCCTCCTGAGTAGCTGGAACTACAGGCATGTGCCACCATATCCAGCTGATTTTTTTTTTGGAAAAATGAGGTCTTGGTATGTTGCCCAGTCTGGTCTTGAACTCCTGGGCTCAAGCAATCCTCTTGCCTCAGCCTCCCTAAATGCTGGAATTGCAGGCGTGAGCCACTGTGCCTGGCCTCACACATCTCACGTTTATGAAGCTTCTCCTCTGTTGCTCCGTGTGTTGAGAGCTTCAGACACAGAGACTTTCCAGAGCAGAGCAGCACAGTCCATCAGAAGTAGAATGTGAGCCTTGTACCATTTGACATTTTCTAGTAGCCATATTCAGAGTACGAAGAAAACAGGTGAAATCCATTTTTCTAATGTTTTTACTTAAAAGATGTTACCATTTCAAGATGTGAAAATTTGGCAGAATTTTATATAAAATTTGATTCCATTCTTTTTTGTACTAATTCTCCCAAATCCAACACGCATGTCACACCTGCAGCACATCTCAATTTGGACTAATCATGTTTCCAGCCCTCAGTGGCCACAGGAGGCTGACGCTTGCTGTGTTGGGCAGCACAGACTTAGACACATGAAGCAGTCATGAGACAGGGCTGCGGTGGAGGCCTGCAGGGGACATCAAGGTGCACTCATTCTGTACTGTGACCCAAGCGAATCTCTCTTTCATGGCCATGGCCCTGTGCAGATGGGCTCTGCTGAGCAGAGTCCTGGACCCCACCCAGGCTGGAAGGACAGAACTGTGGCAGCCTATGGACTGGGAACGGGGCTGTGAAGTGGTCACACCTCAGTCAGTGCTAAAACCCAGGCCAAAAGCAGCCTAAATCGCTTCTCAAAGAAGTCTGGGAAGTAGAGTCTGGCTGGGCAGCCAAGATCCTTGGGAAGAGGGGAGAACAGATTTAGGGGTGGGGGAGTCTCCAGCCACTGGGAGTTGAAGAGGCCTTTGATGAGGCAGTCATGTGATGGAGCACTGGGTCCCGGGGTGGATGGTTGAGGTGGCCTTTCCAGGACCCAGCTGCCCCAACAGACATGGGCTTTGGGCCCACAAGAGTACCTGGCGCTCCATGGCGAGAATTCACCACGGTTTTATCTCTGCAGCCGGAGCACAGCTTTGATTTCATCAACAGAGAGCTGTTTGTGCACGCCATCAGGAAGCTGCAGGCCCACGTCCTGCTCATCAAGTAAGTCTGGACTGAGCACCCTTTGGTTACCCTGAGATGTGGGTGTGGGACACTCCAGGAGGGGGCCCTGGCATGAGACTCCCAGTTCTCCTGGTGTGAGACACTGCTGCAGCTTGAGACCTTTCTTGGGAAGCCCCCTGGCAGCAGGTTGATGGAAGGAGGAAGGTAAAATGAGGGGAGGGCTTGGGCAGTGGGGGATGGGGCAAGGCCTGTGCCACACCTTTCCACAGGTATCTGAGGGGGCATACTGAGGTAAGCCTCTATATTGGGACCGCAAAAGGCAGAGACAGGCAGTCCTCGGTCACAAAATACAATTCCAAACCACGAAGTACTTCCTACCCACCAGGATGGCTTACAACCAAAGGGTCAGATAACAAGTGCTGGTAAGTGGAGAAATCAGCCGGGCTCGGTGGCTCAGCCTGTAATCCCGCACCTTGGGAGGCTGAGGTGCGTGGACTGCCTGAGCCTGTGGGTTTGAGACCCGCCTGGGCAACTTGTCGAGACCTCATCTCTACAATAAATCAAAAAATCAGCCAGGTGTGGTAGCGCACGCCTGTA